TTCTCTGTCATCCCCTTCTTCTCTTGCCCTCCATCTTTCCCAGCATCAGGCTCTTCTCCAGTGAGTCCTTCCTTCTCATTAGGTGGCCAAAAGACTTGAGTTTCAACTTCAGGGATCATTAAAGAGAGATTCCGACCTAGAACGAAGGACGAATTTCCTGACAGAATAAATAATTAGTGGTAGTGACTGTGAGAGGGATCTCGGAGTCCCAGTGGACAATCACTTAAATATGAGCCAGCAGGGTGTTGCAGCTGCCAAAAAAGCCAACTCAGTGCTGGCTTGAAATCAAGATCACGTGAAGTGTTAATACCACTTTACAATGCCTTGGTAAGGCCACACCTGGAATACTGCATCCAGTTTTGGTCACCACAATGTAAAAAAGATGCTGAGACTCTAGAAAGAGCACAGGGAAGAGCAACAAAGATGATTAGGGAACTGGAGGCTAAAACATATGAGGAACGGTTGCTGGAATTGGGTATGTCTAGTTTAACGAAGAGAAGGACGAGGGGGGACATGATAGCCGTGTTCCAGTATCTCAGGGGCTGCCCCAAAGAAGAAGGAGTCAAGCTATTCTCCAAAGCGCCTGAAGGCAGGACAAGAAGCAACGGATGGAAACTCACCAAGGAGAGAAGCAACCTAGAACTAAGGAGAAACTTCCTGACAGTGAGAACAATTAACCAGTGGAACAACCTGCCTCCAGAAGCGGTGAATGCTCCAACACTGGAGGTTTTTAAGAAGACACTGGACAACCATCTGTCCGAAATGGTGTAAGGTTTCCTGCCTGAGCAGGGGGTTGGGCTAGATGACCTCCAAGGTCCCTTCCAACTTTATTATTATTGTTGTTGTTGTTGTTATTATTATTATTATTATTATTATTATTATTATTATTATTATTATTATTATTATTATTATTATTATTATTATTATAAGATATTGGACAGCAATTTGTCCAGAAAGGTATAGGTCTACTTCTTGACCAGGGGGTTGGACTAGAAGACCTCCAGTGGTCCCTTCCTACTTTCTTCTAATATCATTCTGTTAATCTCTTCTATTGCCCTATTGGAAAGTATCTTTCCTTTATGTTTGTTGTTTGCTTCTTGGCCTGTTACCTCTCACACCTTACTGATTTTTATTAGCTCCGTCTCTGGAATTTAACGGACAGGAGCCAAATATAGACAATTTGAGGGCTACTATTTAGCTTCGAGTTGTTGGCTTCCAAAGCTTTAACACGCTCTGCCTCTTTTTTTTGCCCACAGAGTCACTTCCACAGAAATGTCAGCCCAGATCAAGTGTCACAAGAACCGTTAAGTGTTCGTTTATCCAGAAAGGTAACAGGAAATTGCCAGAATTTCAATTTTGGAGCGGAAACCGTTATCTGCCCCGTGACTCTTCTATACCTACCTGGCTTCATTCTGGCCTACAAGCAAGAGAGCAATCAGGGCCAGCTGCATTTGTGAATCTTCTGCATTTGTGAGATGTTTTCTTGTTAGCTGCAGCCACTGCTGGACCCATCTTGTGCAAATGCTTGACCTACGATCTTCCAATCCTGGATATAGGACTGCATAGATGGCAACTTTTGGTGATTACAACTCAACCTTCTCTCAACAGCATGAGGATTAGAATACCCAATAACAGAGTTGGAAGGGACTTTGGAGGTCTTCTAGTCCAACCCCCTGCTCAAGCAGAAAATTGTTAAGTTCATGATAGTTAATACAGGAAAAGAAGTTAAAGCACCTAGTCCTCTTGCTACCAAGGTTTTCAATATTTTTTCATGACGCACTGACAGGAACCAGCCACCAATATCTGGGTTTCATGTCCGTGGATTTGTCAGACATAGAGGCCATGGAACTGCTGAAAAAGAATTCCTGCAACCTTGAGTTGAATTCGTAGAAATGCAATATCTAGTGCATTGGAACCAAGGTCACATTTGGAGTTTGGAATCCAATCCCAAGAACTGCACATCCCTAGACCAGGGCTTTTCAATCAGTGGTATGGGCACCACCTGTGGTACATTGGCACCTGGCAGGTGGGATGCGATCATCTTAGAAAAGTGGTAGTGGGGGAGGGGAATGAGCTGAACCGGTGGCAGCACCACACAAGCCTGAGCGAGAGACGGCTGGAGCTACAGTGCTGTCAGGGCTCTGGAATTTAACGGAAATTTAAAGGAAACCTTACACCATTTCGGACAGATGGTTGTCCAGTCTCTTCTTAAAAACCTCCAGTGTTGGAGCATTCACCACTTCTGGAGGCAGGTTGTTCCACTGGTTAATTGTTCTCACTGTCAGGAAGTTTCTCCTTAGTTCTAGGTTGCTTCTCTCCTTGATTAGTTTCCATCCGTTGCTTCTTGTCCTGCCTTCAGGCGCTTTGGAGAATAGCTTGACTCCCTCTTCTTTGGGGCAGCCCCTGAGATACTGGAACACGGCTATCATGTCGCCCCTCGTCCTTCTCTTCGTTAAACCAGACATATCCAATTCCAGCAACCGTTCCTTATATGTTTTAGCCTCCAGTCCCCTAATCATCTTTGTTGCTCTTCCCTGTGCTCTTTCTAGAGTCTCAGCATCTTTTTTACATCGTGGTGACCAAAACTGGGTGCAGTATTCCAAGTGTGGCCTTACCAAGGCATTGTAAAGTGGTATTAATATTTCATGTGATCTTGATTCTATCCCTCTGTTAATGCAGCCCAGCACTGAGTTGGCTTTTTTGGCAGCTGCAACACCCTGCTGGTTCATATTTAAGTTATTGTCCACCGGGACTCCGAGATCCCTCTCACAGTCACTACCACTAATTATTTATTCTGTCAGGAAATTCGTCCTTCGTTCTAGGTCGGAAACTCTCTCTAATGATCCCTGAAGTTGAAACTCAAGTCCTTTGGCCACCTAATGAGAAGGAAGGACTCACTGGAGAAGAGCCTGATGCTGGGAAAGATGGAGGGCAAGAGAAGAACGGGATGACAGAGAATGAGATGGCTAGATGGAGTCACTGAAGCAGTAGGCGTGAGCTTCAATGGACTCCAGAAGATGGTAGAGAACAGGAAGGCCTGGAGGAACGTGGTCCATGGGGCCGCGATGGGTCGGACACGACTTTGCAACTAACAACAACAACAACTTGTCTTTTCTTGTCCTGCCTTTAGGTGCTTTGGGGAATAAGTTAGCTCTCTCTTCTCTGTGGCAAGATGGCTGCCATGTCACCCCCAATCCTTCTCTTTTTTAAATTAGACATACCCAATTCCTCCAACCGTGTTTTAGCCTCCAGGGACCTTAGCATTTTTGTCCCTCTTCTCTGCACTCTTTCTAGGGTGTCAACACCTGTTTTGTATCATGGTGACCAGTACTGGACTCAGTATTCCAATTGTTTTCTTCCTAGTGCAGTGTAAAGGAGTATTAGCGCTTCTGGGTCAACTCACCTTGCTGTGACAGTTTTGCTACCAGACGAGCAATTCTAAAGACGGACACAACAGGGCAGGGAAAACCATTACCTTTATGTTACGACTAGGGGTTCGGTCCAAAACCATTTTCAGCCAAACTATACAATCCAGGTTTAGGCAGGGGGATTTCCACAGTCGAAGCAGGTATTGTGACAACCATTTCATAGCCTTTATTGCTAAATGTTTCTTCCAGCCAGAATGAAAAACAGGACAAACCTGGAAACTCCTTTTTAACCAGGCAGGTGTGTCACCTGCTTTTACACTCCAGTTTAGAGTCTGCCTTTTAGGGATAGGTATGGAAAGTGGAATTTAACTTAGAGTTGAACAAGTATTAAGACCCCACTTCGATGCCATTGATTTAGAATTAATCCAGGTTGAATCTAGAGTTTCTAAGCGAAGAACTGAAGAATTCGGGATGATTTTACCTAGATGACCCCTATCATCTATCTCTTTGTTCACCAAGATTTGACACCAACTTAATGGCATTGAATCAATCAATCAAGGCCGAAATGGGGGGGGGGACCTAGAATGTGCCTTTTTTCTGCTCCCTCCATATAAATACCTCTGATTGATTGATTGATTGATTGATTGATAATATTATGCAAAATGGAGTTGTCAGGTTTTCTAGACTGATTATATTCAAAGTGACAAAAGGACACAGATGTTTGATAAGCAAGTTTATAGCAAGAAGTAAGAAAGCTATAAAGAAAGAATTCAGGCAGCTACATACAGGAAGGCATCAACTTATGACCACAGTCGGAACTGGGAATTTGGCACTTGTGACTACTTGTATTCTTGTGAAGTGGGTCACACCCAATTTTATAACCTTCAGGGCACTGCAACCATTGTAAATGCATGCCAATCACCCACATTTTGATTGTGTGACCATGGGACACTGCAACAGGCATAAGCAGGATTGGTTGTAAGTCATTTTTTTTCCACTGTTGTCGTAACTTCAAACAGTCATTAAAAGAATGGTTGTAAGTTGAGAACTACCTGTGTCAAATATAAGCGCTATTTAGCATGAAATGAAATGAAATTTGATTCCTAAGGGTTTACTTCCACACATACAGTACAATGGACTGATAATTGTTCCTCCTCGCCAGTTCCTTTTCTAACACTTTCTGCATCCTGTAAACTAGACACTGTTCCAGCTGTGTCATCATTGCATCCTTCATCTTAATTTATTTTCTGGGTTTGCTCAATAATCCAAAGCATAAACTAATCAAATCGCCTGGATTTTCACAACAATGAGCCAAAAAAGGGATACAGATCAAAACAGGATTATGATAATTGCATTCATTCTATAAGTTGACAACTAAGAACTGAAGAATTCGGGATGATTTTACCTAGATGACCCCTATCATCTATCTCTTTGTTCACCAAGATTTGACACCAACTTAATGGCATTGAATCAATCAATCAAGGCCGAAATGGGGGGGGGGACCTAGAATGTGCCTTTTTCCTACTCCCTCCATATAAATACCTCTGATTGATTGATTGATAATATTATGCAAAATGGAGTTGTCAGGTTTTCTAGACTGATTATACCCAAAGTGACAAAAGGACACAGATCTTTGATGAGCAGGTTTATTGCAAGACGTAAAAAAGCTACAGAGAAAGCATTCAAGCAGCTACGTACAGGAAGGCATCCATTTACGACCACAATTGGAACTGGAAGTCTGTCACTAAGTGATGTTATTGTTAAGTGGGTCACACCCAATTTTAAAACCTTTGGGACACTGCAACATTTCGTAAATACATGCCAATCAGCCACATTTTGATCATGTGACCACGGGACACTGCAACAGTCATACATAGATTGTAAGTCATTTTTTTCAGCATTGTCATAACTTCAAACATTTGTTAAATGGTTGTAAGTTGAGGACTACCCGTGTCAAAGATAAGCCCTATTTAGCAGGGAATGAAATTTGATTCCTAAGGGTCTTCTTCCCACCCGCACGATGCAATGGACGGGAAATTGTTCCTCATCACTGCAGTTTCTTTTCTGACAAGTTATACACGGGCTGAAAACATAAAGCCCATCCAAAACTGTGACAAACAAGAAACTGTTTTAGCTGTGTCATCATTGCACCCTTTGTCTCATTACTGGATTATTTTATTTTCTGAGTTTGCTCAGTAATCTGAACCATAAGCTAACCAAACAGCTTGGATTTTCACAACATTGAGCCAAAAATAAAAATAAAAAAAACAAGGGTTATACTAACTGCATTCGTTCTGTATGTCGAGCAACTAAGCGGCTACGTTTATACTTTGCTTTTATTTATGAACTCTTTCTTGCAGACAGAGAATTACCTTATTCGTTATTAATCATATCATTTGCAATCATTATGGAAAAGCTTAATGCTCTGGTGGTATCTGAAACTTAGAAATCTTTCCAGCTCCGTCAGAGTAAAACTGACTACCGTATTCTGATTATTATTCTCAGCAATGAATGCCCAGGATGTTTTGGTTCGGTTTCGAAACTCACAACAAATTGCAGCCCAGATATGACTGGGTATATTCACTCTGTTGTTGAGTAATGTATTCCCAGGTACCACACCCACAATGGCATATGTACTAACGCACGAGCTAGTACTTTGTTTTATACTTTGTTCATACGCTTTCCATTGTCCACGATTGAGTGTTGCATCCAGGGGCACAGTGTTGGTCAAGGTGAAGGTTGCATCCATGCTGTCCTGATCCGATTGATGGCACGCTGGCGCCAAGTGTCCTCTGTCGAACAAGGGAGTATTTGTGTAATCCCTCGAAAAAGCCTGGCTGTCTGCAAGGAGATCGTAGATTTGACTATGTTCCGACACCATTTCTCGTTTAGGAGCTGCAAGCTAGGAATAAGGAAGGACAAGCAAGGTGCCTGATTAACATTCACACAACACTCAATCAAACAGCCAGAAGGTGAGGAAAGATCTAGCATGAGTCAGCCAGGCAATGGGGTGTGGGATATTCCTAAAATAAGGCTATGCATATTTGGTGGCCTTCAGATAGCCTCTTCCAGGCATCCCAGCCAACAGGGAAGTTTCTGGGAATTCTGGACATCGAAGCCCCTGACTGGCCCTTTTGGGGAGCCCACTCTAAACTGTCCTCTAGCAGAGAAAACAGGTTGATTGAGCTTGAAATTTGGGGTGCTCTGAGTCTGGTTCTTTGGGGAAAGATGGAAGTAGGACCTCGCCAACGAGGACAACAGAATTCAAGCTTCTAAAACAGTGTTTCTCAACCTTGACAATTTTAAGGTATGTGGACTTCAACTCCCAGAATTCCACAGCCAGCATTGCTGGCTGTGGAATTCTGGGAGTTGAAGTCCACATGCCTTAAAATTGTCAAGGTTGAGAAACACTGTTCTAAAAGCTCCTGAAGATTAATTATGTATAAATAATTCTTAAATCCACTGCCTTGCTTTATTTCCTAACCACGGACTCCATTTCAAGGATGTTCAGTTTCAAAATAGGAACTCCTCTTACCTGTGGTTCAATCTTCCATTTGTCTGTTCGTACACCCGTACTATAAGGATGTAGAAGGTAAGCTGAGAAAATGGGGATGCGCCGAATTCTGTCGTACATTGTGACAAAATAATACTCGGTTTTATACTTCTGGCAGATTACGGCCATATTGTTTAACCGCAGATTGGGGGGAACACCGTCCAAGAAGAACAGACTGCACTCGCTTAAACTGTTCACCACCTCCCCAGTTGCAGGCAGGAGAAAAGAGGCTGCAGCCAGGGAGAGGATCCATAGCAGCCACATGGTCAGTTGGTCTTTCAAGGGAATTTTTCTGCCTGAAAAAGAGAAGAATATTGATAAAGCTCCGATTCAGCCATTCTTCCTTTTCCACGAAGAACTGAAGAACTGCTTGAAGTTGGGCTTGGCTCATGAAGGCCAGCTGGTGCACCTGGTCAGAGGGAGGACAAGTCGATTGCTAGTCTAGATGGAAGAGTGGGAATGTGGGAAGGGAAGGGGTGAATAGGCAAAGAAGGGAAGGGCGAGGGAAGAAAAGGAAAGGAAGAAATGAAAAGGAGGGAGGAAAGAGGAAAGAAAGGAAAAAGAAAAGGAAAGAGAGGGAAGGGAAGGAAGGGAAGGGAAGGGAAGGAAAGAAAGGAAAAAAGGGGAAGGGAAGGGAAGCAAAAGATTTCCCAAAGGCTTTCTTAGGAACAAAGAGGCGTTTGACAGGAGGGGCCTCACCTGAGAAGAAGGAAGAGGCCGAAGAGAGAGGAGGAAGAACAGGGGTGGTGGAGAGACAACTTACTGCATTAAATAGGGAAGCCAACTACACACACACACACACACAGAGGCATTCTTTGTCCTTCTTTATTTCTCTCTCTCTCTCTCTTCCTAGGGGACGATCAGCTTTTGTCCTTATAGCCAGATCTATACCTGCCGTCCTGGAAGAGAAAGGGGCTGAAGGCAAAATTGTTCTCTCTCTCTCTCTCTCTCTCTCTCTCTCTCCCTCCCTCCCTCCCTCCCTCCCTCCCTCTCTCTCTCTCTCTGTGTGTGTGTTCATGAAGAGGCACACAAAGAAAAAGCAGAGTCAAGCTGAGGTCTGTACATTTAGGGAATGGGTGGGGTCCTTCAAGGTAACAACAGCAGCAGGAGGAACAACAACAACAATAATGATAATGTTGGAAGGCACCTTGCATTATTGTCTCCAGGGTCACATTCACCAGCCAGAATACTCCCAACCCAACCACCTAGAAAGCAACTGCTACTGATGCCCCTCTTCTGAGAGTTTTGGGGGGGGGCTGTTGCCAGGGGGTGCTGCCTGCTGCTTCAGCCCCTCCAGAACAACTTTCAGGCTGACGTTTCTGTGGAACTGACTCGGTTGGCAAGGCAGTGTTAAAGCGGTGGAAGCCAACAGCCCAAAGCAAAAATGCAACCCACAAATTGTCTATATTTGGCTCCTGTCTATATTTAGCATGAAATGAAATTTGATTCTTAAGGGTCTTATCCCCCCCTCCCCCGCACAGTGCAACGGACTGATAATCAATCCTTCTCACCGCACTTTCTATCCTAACAAGTTACACCTGATAAATATACATCAATATGATAAATCTTCAGTCAGTTAAAAATACAGATGGTGAGAGTCAATAAGAGATTAAGGAAGTAAGATAACCATATAGGTAAAAATAGTTGGATCTGAGAAAGGAAGAAGAGAAGCTATAAAAATATAAAGGAAATGGCTAGCCAGGAAGGTTGAATGGAGAATAAGGAAACCATGCCAAATAAGATAAGAAGAGAGGAATGGAGAGCAAGAAAAGAGCTTATTGTGGAGACATAAATATATATATTGAGTTTAAAAATAACCATTTCCATGTCTAATTTTTCTTATTCTTATTGTATAAGTGAATATGATTTAGTGTGTTATCGGGAAATGTGTATAGGCGGACGGAAAGAGTGTAACCTCATACTACCTCAGCCAATGGGGAAAGAGGAGGGCTGTAGCGGCCGGTGACAGGGATGAATAAAAGGAGATATTTTGGGTTAAAACTTTGGAGAGAACTAAGCTTTGAAAGCTTCTCTCCCCGCTTATTGCAATAAACGAAACAAAAGGCCTTCACTGTGTCTTGGCTGGTTATTGGTCAGGCGAGCTTGCCTCTGGTCACGAAGGAAAGTAGCCAGGAGCACATAACACACCTGGGTTAAAATCACAAAGCCCAGCCTACCTTTAAACTTTGCTCAATAGTAGCAACTGTGAGAGGGAACTCGGAGTCCTAGTAGACAAAAATAGGAGCCAGCCGTGTGCTGCAGCTGCCAAAAAAGCCAACACAGTCTTCCAATATCTCAGGGGCTGCCCCAAAGAAGAGGGAGTCAAGCTATTCTCCAAAGCACCTTGAAGGCAGGACAGGAAGCAACGGATGGAAACTAATCAAGGAGAGAAGCAACCTAGAACTAAGGAGAAACTTCCTGAGAGTTAGAACAATTAACCAGTGGAACAACCTGCCTCCAGAAGCGGTGAATGCTCCAACACTGGAAGTTTTTAAGGAGATTGGACAGCCATTTGTCCAAAATGGTGTACGGTTTCCTGCCTGAGCAGGGGGTTGGAATAGATGACCTCCAAGGTCCCTTCTAATTTTGATAGCAGCCTTCCAATATCTAAGGGGCTCCCACAAAGAAGAGGGGCTCCACCCATTCTCCAAAGCACCTGAAGGTCGGACAAAAAGCAACAGATGGAAACTGATCAAGGAGAGAAGCAACCTAGAACTAAGGAGAAACTTCCTGACAGTGAGAACAATTAGCCAGTGGAACAACCTGTCTCCAGAAGCGGTGAATGCTCCAACACGGGAAGTTTTTAAAAAGAGGCTGGACAGCCATTTGTCCGAAATGGTATAGGGTTTCCTGCCTGAGCAGGGGGTTGGACTAGATGACCTCCAAGGTCCCTTCCATCATCATCATCATCATCATCATATTATTATTATTATTATTACATCTTAAACGAACACTGCCGTAAAGCGTATGCTAAGCACGTATCTTTTCTGCCCATTTCCCTGGTACCGACAAGGCAGGCGATATTTCAGAGAGCAAAGACCCCAGCGAACGACTTCATTTAACATGAACAAAACTGTCTTACCGTATTCAGAAGTGCTTGCAAAATGATGGCGCTTCCTCAGAGCATCTGGCTTTAATGTGACATCTGATACTTAGGGCACGGTTCCAGGGTTAGGCAACCAGCAACTTGGAACGGATTTGTGCTTTGCTCGTTTCTGAGAAAGCACATGAAGCTGCAGAAAACAGAAAATGAAAGCATAGGGGGGCTTGTAGAAACACCCACAGATGCCCACACCTACAGATTTACTGGGGGGGGGGCAAATGCTTAGCTACAGCCTATTCAGCAACTTTTAAAGTGAAGTTAAAAAAAAAAGCTTGAGATAACTGGTGTACAAAACCACTGTTTTTTTTTCTCTTTCCACACTCTGCTCTCTTTCGTTAGGGCAGTGGTTCTCAACCTGTGGGTCGGGACCCCATTTGGGGTCGAACGACCATTTCACGGGGGTTGCCAAACAATGCAGTCCGCCATTTTCCCCCCTTTTCCTTAGCTGTGCTACTCCCTTTTATTCTATTGGCTTTCGAAAGCCAATAGAATAGACTCTCTTGAATAGAGTCTAATTCTATTGGCTTTCAAAAGCCAATAGGAATTGTCCAGGCTGTCTCTGCCCTGCTGAGCCTGCCAAAAGTTCCATTCTGCAAACGGTGCTGTACCAGTTGAGTAGTCCTTGACTTACAACCGGTTGAGTAGTCCTCGACTTACTACCGGTTGGGGGTCATGGCATTAAAAAGGTTGAGAACCACTGCATTAGGGCTTTTCTAATGAGGAGGAGGAGGAAGTAAAGCTTGGGGGGTCTGTTATGTATTGAATATATATAAAATTGTGTTAATCCCTGCTAAAGTGAAACTAACTTAACTCCAACTGCTTGTGAAGATAAAATGAAACTAACCTTTAGATGACCCTGACTGTTAACGCCAACTGTTTTGGAGGAAAGCGTTGAACATTCATATTTGGGCGGGTTTTTCAAGTATTGTGATTGGTTAAGGCCTTGTGGGCTCAGAGTATAAATTACAGGCAATTGCCTGCAGTTCTCCAGTTCTAGTTTGAGTCAATAAATAATGTTGTAACTATGCTGGTCTGCTCCTTGACTACTGACAGCCCACTACTCAATATCCTTCATCCAGATTTGGAAAATAAACTGTGGCTGCCTTAATATTTACCCCAAACTAACCCAAATTCCAGAAATATGGTTTTACAGCTGATCAGCTGTAGTTGCGGGATCCTGGGCTTCTGCCCAGCTCACTTGCTCACGCTTGGCTGGAAAACATGCTGCTTGCTAATTTAGCAGAAGCGCCAGGATCAGTGCCGGGCTACAGCTGATCCACGCTTCTGAATGGCTCCGCAGAAGTGGGATCAGCTGTAGCTGCAGGATCCTGGGATCCTGCCCAGCTCACTTGCTCGCGCTTCGCTGGAAAACATGCTGCTTGCTAATTTAGCAGAAACGCTAGTGATAAATATGTATCAATATGATAAATCTTCAGAGTCAGTTAAACCTACAATATAATGGAAACTAATTGAATAGAAAATTAAGTACAATTGGTGGGAATCAGGAAAAGATAACATAAAGAAAGTAAGATAAATACATAGGGGAAAATAGCTGGGTCTTAGAGTGGGGAAAGGAAGAAGACCAACTATAAAAAAAATAGCTGTAAGAGGAAATGGCTAGCCAGGAAAGACATGTTGAACTGAAAAATAGGAAAGAACCTATTGTTCTAAAAGGGGGACATAAATATCCACAGAGTTTAAAATAACCATTTAAATGTCTATTTTTTCTTATTATTCTTGTATATGTGAATATGATTTAATATGTTATCAGGAAATGTGTAAAAGGCGATCGGAAAGAGTGTAACCTCGTAGTACCTCAGCCCATGGGGAAAGAGGAGGGATGTGCAGCTGGGACAAGGATTGTATAAAGAAGGAAATATTTTGGGTTGGAACTTTGGACAGAACCAAGCTTTGATAGTTTTTCTCCCCGCTTATTGCAATAAACGGAACCAAAGGCCTTCACTGAGTCTTGGCTGGTGATTGGTCAGGCGAGCTCACCTCTGGTCACGAAGTAAAGTGGCCAGAAGCACATAACACCAGGATCAGTGCTGGGCTCCAGCTGATCCGCACTTCTGGGCAGCTCTGCAGAAGTGCAGATCAGCTGTAGCTGCGCTCCTGAGCTGCTGCCCAGCTCGCTTGCTAACTCAACCTTCGCCTGAAAACACGGGCTTACTAAACACGCCACTCGCTTGCTCGCCCTTCCCCCAAAACACGCCGGTTGTTCACTCACCCTTCCTCCAAAAACGGGCCGCTCGCTTGCTGTTCCTCTGAAAACAGGCCGCTCGCTCTGTCTCTCCTCGTTCCTTCGGTAAGAAAAGCCTCTTCTCTTCTCAGTCTGTCCCTTTTATATCTTCTCTTCTCTCCGCCCTCCTCCTTATTTTCTCTTCCGGGAGCACCGGAAGCTCCAATTGCCATGTCACCACCTGCGCAGATCCTGGAGATTCTGCCAAGCTCTGCAGCTCCAGCTGATCTCCTCCAGGTCTGTGCGGCTCCACTTTAACTGTTCCCTCCCCCACTACAATTAGATGGGGCTCGTGTACCACCAGCCAGGTGCTAGAGTACCACTGATGGTAGACGTACCACCAGATGAAAAGCCCTACTCTTGATGTTCGTGAAGAGGCACACAAAGAAAAAGCAGAGTCAAGCTGAGGTCTGTACATTTAGGGAATGGGTGGGGTCTTTCAAGGTAACAACAACAACAAGAAGAACAAGAACACCAAGAACAACAACAACAAGAACAAGAACAACAACAATAATAATAATAATAATGATAATGTTGGAAGGCACCTTGGATTATTGTCTCCAGGGTCACATTCACCAGCCACAATACTCCCAACCCAACCACCTAGAAAGCAACTGCCACTGATACCCCTCTTCTGAGTGTTTGGGGGGGGGCTGTTGCCAGGAAGTGCTGCCTGCTGCTTCAGCCCCTCCAGAACAACTTTCAGGAAATAGCTAAATGCTGAGCTTTTCTGTAGAAATCCTGTTTGCCAGATGATTCCGTGGTTCACCCTCTTTGCCCACACAAACCATCATTAACAATGTTCAGGAAATGTTATATTTAAAACTGCTTTATATGGAATCGGCAGCTGAAGCGATCTGGGTTTTTAAGAGACTCGCATCAGCCCTGGCAAAACCTGGTTGTTGTCATGGCCCCCATCATCCAATATCCATTCTATTCTATTCTATTCTATTCTATTCTATTCTATTCTATTCTATTCTATTCTATTCTGTTCTGTTCTGTTCTGTTCTGTTCTATTCTATTCTATTCCATATTTTCTATTCTGTTCTGTTCTGTTCCATTCCGTTCCATATATTCTGTTCTGTTCTGTTCTGCTCTGTTCCGTTCCATTCCATTCCATATTTTCTATTCTGTTCTGTTTTGTTCCGTTCCGTTCCATTCCGTTCCATATATTCTATTCTATTCTATTCTGTTCTGTTCTGTTCTATTCTATTCTGTTCTGTTCTATTCTATTCTATTCTATTCTATTCTATGGAAAATATAAGGTGTAGTCAAGAATTGTGCTGGAAATTCAGATAAAGTTGTCTCCTCCTAGTCCAAAAATTAATAGAATAATAACAGAATGACAATATAACAAGATTGGGAGGGACCTTGGAGGTCTTCTAGTCCAACCCCCTGCTCAAGCAGAAAACCCTATACCATTCTGTTCAAATGGCTGTCCAGTCTCTTGTTAAAAACCTCCAACAATGGAGCACCCACCACTTCCGGAGGCAAGCGGTTCCACTGATTAATTGTTCTCCCTGTCAAGAAATTCTCCTTAGTTCTAGGTTGCTTCTCTCTTTAATGATCTTCTCCTTGTTACGTCTTGTCCTGCCCTCTGCTGGCCTGGAGAATAAGCTGACTCCCTCTTCTCTGTGATACCCCCTCAAGTATCCGGAAAAGGCTATCATCAAGGAAAAAAAAGTTCCCAAGAGAGGAATAGGAATCAAAGTATGTTAAATATAACACAAGGCGTAGACAACAGGGAGGCCAATAGAATTCTTACGGTCCTGGTGATGCCTGAGATTCGCTCTGTACAAATCATTCTTCAACTCAACGTTGTGCCCTGTTTCTGCAACAGTACGTTGGCCGTGCACTTGGTTGGTTGGCCTTTAACTGGAATCTCAGTGCCTGCAGAAGAGAAAGAACAATGACAAAGTCTTCCTCATGCATGAAGAACCAAAGAGGGCCTTGAAGTTGGGTTTGACCAAGAGCATCTGAAGTCCAGCTGGTCCTCCTGGTCAGATGGAGGCCAGCCAGATGGCTTTCACTTCTCGGTGGAAGAGTGGGAATGAGGGAAGGGAAGGGGTGAATAGGTAAAGAAGAGAAGGGAAAGGAAAGAAAGGAAAAAGAAAAGAAAAGAGAAGAGAAGGAAGAAAGAAAGAAAAACAGTTTCTCAAAGAGACTCTTAGGGACAAACAAGAGTTTGACAGGATGGGCTCAGCTGAGGAGAAGGAGGAGGCAGAAGAGATAGAGGGAAGAACAGAGATAGTGGAGGGATGGTTGATGTTTTCTGATTGCAGTTGACAGCTTCCAACTTACTGCTTCTTTGATCCAATTATGATCGATTGGAGCATTGCTTGGAGACAGCTTCAGGAGTCATATTGGGAAGCCAAGTTCACACACAAGGACACACACAAACACACATTCTCTGTTCTTCTTCTTTAATTGTCAATTGTACGTCAGAGTAAGAGGGGAGAGAGCTTCCTATTATATGAAGTTGGAGAACTGGCATGTCTTCCTATGTGGACAATCAGCTTATTCTTGGATGCTCTGCAGACCTTCAACAAATGATTCAGGAATTCATTTACTCAGCAGCAGATTGACCTACTCAGAGGGCAGAAGGATTCTCTACAGAGGCATCCTTGGTGCAGTCTGAGCTCTCAGGCCAAGTAGCAAACATCAAGCCTAAAGCAAAGACAACCTCCAATAGTGGAACAGAAATCCAAGTATGGAAAATATAATATAATATATAATCCAGGTTTAGGCAGTGGGTTTTCTACAATCAAAACCTGGATTGTAACAGCCTTTATTGCTAAATGTTTCGTCCAGCCGTAGTGAAAAAAATGGACAAAACTGGGGACTGTTTTTGGACAACACAAATTATGTCACCTGCTTTTATACTTCAGTTTAGATTCCACTGTTTAGTGACAGGTATGGAAAGTGGAGTTTAACTTTGAATTGGACATGTATTAAGGCTGGAATTCTATTCACACTTATTTAGAATTAATCCACCTTGGATCCAGAGGTTTCTAAGTGAAGAATTCAGGATTTTGGGACCAAGAGGATGGGCTCCATCATCCATCTCTTTGTCTGCTAAGATTTGACACCAACCTAATGGCATTTAATCAATCAGTCAATCAATCAAGGCCAAAATAGAGAAAACCAGTGAAACTATTGCAATGTGATTTTTCCCTGCACCCCCCATACATATAACCTTGATTGACTGATTGATTGATTGATTGATTGATTGATTGATTGATTGATAATATTGTGCAAACTGGAATGGTCAAGCTTTTCCAGGCTGATATAGTGAAAGTCACACAAGGAAACAGATATTTGCAAAGCAAGTTTATTGCAAGAACTAAGAAAGCCATTGAGAAAGAAGTCTAGCAGTTCTGTACAGGAAGTCCTCAACATACAACCACAATTGAAACTGGAACCTCGTCACTAAGCAATGAAATCGTTAAGAGGCTCCCACTCAAGTATACAACCATTTTGATTCACAGTCGTACAGTGAAAGCAGCTTTCCCACGACTTTGCTTCTAAGGAGAACCCTGGGGAAATTGCCCATGGTGCCTTTGGGGCACTGCAGACATCATGAATCCATGCCTGTTGCCCATCGCCCACGTTTTGATCATGTGATTGCAGGGACATAGTAACAATCCTACCCGCGAGGGTTGGTAGGAAGGCGCTTTTTCAGCATCGTCATAAATTCAAACAGTTGATAAATGAATGGTCATAATCTGAGGACTACTTGTATCAAAGATAAGCACTATTTAGCATGAAATGAAAATTTGATGAAAATGAAATATACGATACAGATCAAACCAGGATTAAAATTAACCGAATTCTCTCCATATGTTAAAGAACTAAGCTAATAGCTTTGTACCTTGCTTTTATTTGCCCTTTTTAAGCTACATTATGAGGGCCAGGCGCTGTATTACAAGCACCATTGAAAAGATCAACTCTTTCCTGCCTGTAGAGACCAGCAAGTTGTGTTTGCAGATCCTCCAAGGTAGGACGGTCCACCCTATTCTCATTATTTGGAGCAATGACTGCCCAGGGCTTTCTGCGGTTTTTTTCCATCACACAACAACCTGCAGCCCAGATATGACTGGGTATATTCACTCTGTTCTTGAGGTTGGTATTCCCGGGCACCGCACCCACAAGGATATACAAAGCACGGCATCCTGCTGCATTTATATTTTCTTCATATGCATTCCATTCTCCATTATTGAGTGCGTGAAGTTGGGGCACAATGTTGGTTAAGGTGAAGGTTGCATCTTTGCTGTCCTGATCCGGTTGATGTAAGGCTGGCACCAAGTGTCCTCTGTCGTATCGATCAGCATTACGGTAATCCTCTTCAACAGCCTGGCTGTTTGCAAGGCTAATGGGGTCGATCCCACTGGTCTCTTCCAATTCCATGCTTTTGTGACGATGATACTCACGATTTATAGGCAGTGCAAGCTAGGAATAAAAAAGGACAAGCAGTGTGATCTGGTTAGCTTTAACACAACACTGAGTCAAAGACCCTGAATGTGGAGAAAGGTCTATCTTGTGTCAGCCAGGGAATGGGGTGGGGGGTACTCTGCAAAGACAGGTTGGATCCCAGCCAACAGGGCAGTTTCTGAGAATTCTGGAAATTGAAACCCCAATTCGATGCTCTTGAGAAGCCCACTTTAAACTATCTTCTAGCAGGGAATGCAATTGATTGAGCTTGAAATGTTGGGTTTGGGGTGAATCCTGGAAATAATTATGTACAAATAATTCTTAAATCCACTGTTTTGCTTTATTTCCTAACCACTGACTGTTCCTTTAAGGTGGCCTCCATTTCATGAAGGTTTAGCTTCAGAATAGGAACTCCTTTTACCTGTGGCTCAATCTTCCATTCGTCCCATCGTTGACCTTGACCAGGCTGATATATATATGCTGAGAACGTGGGGATGCGCCGATCTTCGTCGTACATTGTGGCAAATCGATAGCGGTTCTCATACAATTGGCAGATTCTGGCTGAATTCTTTGGCCTCAGTTTGGGGGGGGTTCCATCCAAGAAGAAGTTGTTGCAGGGCTTGAAATTGTCCACCACCTCCCCAGTTGCAGGCAGGAGAAAAGAGGCAGCAGCCAGGGAGAGGATCCATAGCAGCCACATGGCCGGTCTTTCAATGGAATTTTTCTGCCAAAAAAAAAAAGAGAGAGAGAGAGAGAAGAAGAATGATAAAGCTTTGATTTAGCAAAGTTCCATCACGAAGGTGAGAATGGGTCTGAGGTTGGGTTGTGCCAAGGGCACCTGAGGTCCAGCTGGTGAGAGGGAGGCCAGCCGGATTGTTTACGCTTCTGGATGGAAGAGCAGGAATGTGGGAAGGGAAGAGAAATGGTAAGCAGGAAAAGAAGGGAAGGGTGAGGAAAGAAAGGAAAAAGGAAAGAGTGGGAGGGAAAGAGAGGAAGGAAAGAGTAAGGTTTTCCAAAGAATCTCTTAGGGACAGGAGGGTCCTCAGCTGCGGAGAAGGAAGAGGCAGAAGACAGAGGAGGAAGGATCAGGGATGGTGGAGAGACAACTTGCAGCATCAAATAGAGAACACCCACAAACCCAGAGAGACATGCTTTTCTCTTTATTTATCATTTGCATGTCAAAGAAAGATGGAAAAAGCTTCTGTTATAAGAGGTTGGAGAAGAACCATGTCTTCCTACGAGGGCGATCAGCTTATCCTTGTAGCCAGCACTACACCTGCACTCCTGGAAGAGAAAGGGGCTAGAGGCAAAATGGCATGCATGCACACACACACACACACACACACACGCACACGCACATATGCACCCCCTCTCAATAAGGGTTGGTGTCCGTGAAGAGGCGCACGAAGTAAGAAGCAGAATCAAGCTGAGGATCTGATCATTTAGGGAATGGGTGGGGGTCTTTCAAGGTGTTCATTCCAGACTGGATTATTGTCCTGAAATATCTGCAGGGTCTCATTCTCCCACCAGACTTCTCCCAGCCACCCAAATCATCTAGAAGCCAACTGCCCACTGATGCCCTTCTTCTGAGAGGTTGGGGGGCTGATGCCAAGGGGGGCTGCCTGCTGCTTCAGCCCCTCCAGAACAATTTTCCCATCAAGCTGGCCCCTTCACCCCACTCAGGAAACAACTGCACACGGAACTTTGCTCTAGAAATCCCGTTTGCCAGATGATTGAATGGGTAACCCTCTTTGCCCACATTAATCATCATTAACAATGTGCAGAGGTCTCAAAAGAAGGAAATATCATATTGAAAACTGCCTTTTATGGAATCAGCAGGTGAAGCTGTCTGGGGATTTAAGAGAATCGCATCAGCCCTGGGAAAACCTGGATGCTGTCATGGCCCCCATCCTCCAATATCCATTATTCTAGAATTCACCTGGAGGGCTCCCCTCCTTCATTCCTACAGTCTTGCAACTTAGTTTGCTTTTCTCTTTCTTCCTGGAAAAGTTGGCACCACCTCCACACAACACACTTACCATGTTATTGGCTCAGTAGGGTTGGGAGAAATTTTTACGATCCACATAATAAAGTTTATGCTTGAGGTTGTCCATCTCTGGTTCCTTCCAGACACGTAACAAATTATTCAGAAGTTCATTTAGATTTTCTTGCTTCCTTGAGTTACTTATAGCGTAATAAAATAGCAGGATAAAAATCTAATAAACAAATAAAATGCCCATAAAATTCTGCCTCCAGAAGCTATGAATGCCCCAACACTGGAAGTTTTTAAAAGAGACTGGGCAGCCATTTGTCTGAAATGGTATAGGGTTTCCTGCCTGAGCACGGGGTTGGACTAGACCAGGGCTTTTCAACCTTTTCACCCATTGTACCACTTTTAGGATACGGCAACGTCCGAGTACTACCAGTCGCCTAGCAAGGGGTCAAAAACCTGATGACACCCCCCAAAAAGAAAAAAGTGATAAAGTACAGGTAGTCTTCGACTTACAACAGTGACTGTTTGAAGTTACGATGGCACCGAAAAAAGTACCCCCAAGCCACAGCCCAGCAAGACACCTGCCTGCCCACCTGGCGGCGCTCTTCCTCCTGTCCGAGGTTTTCATTGTTGTGAGCATTTCTGTTGAGGATTGGCAGTGGGGGTGGGGTGGGTGGTGTTTGGTTTTTATTCCCTCCTGTCTGCTGGGTGGTTGCAGCAGGTTTTGGTCCCTTCACATGACCCTGGGACACCGTGACCGTCATAAATATGAATCAGTTGCCAAGCATCTGAATGTAAATCACAAGACCCTGGAGAGGTTGCAACATTCCAGCTGATCGGCGCTTCTTCTGGGCTCAGCAGAAGCGCCAGGATCAGCACTGAGCTCCAGCTGGAGCCTGATGCTGATCCTGGCGCTTCCGCTGAGCCCTGACAGCCCCGAAGAAGCACCAATCCTGGCGCTTCCGCTGAGCCCTGACAGCCCTGCAGCTCCAGCCGTCTCTCGCTCAGGCTTGTGCGGTGCTGCCACCGGTTCAGCTCATTCCCCTCCCCCACTACCCCTTTTCTAGGATGGTCACGTAACCCCTGCCAGGTGCCAATGTACCACAGGTGGTACCTGTACCACTGGTTGAAAAGCCCTGGACTAGATGACCTCCAAGGTCCCTTCCAACTTTATTATTTCCTGAAGAAATAAACAAATAATGGTTCTTATGACACCTGATCTAACGGGACATTTCTGTGGAACTGACTCTGTGGGGAGGAGGCAGAGAATGCTAAAGCTGTGGAAACCAACAACCTAAAGCTCAAAAGTAGCCCACAAATTGTCTACATTTGGCCCCTGTCCCGTTAAATTCCAGAGATGGACCGAGTAAAAATATGGGGATGTCCATCGTGGCAAATTGATAAATTCACTGTCTTGCCATACTTCCTAACCTCTAACTGTTAAATGGAAGAACAGGAATGTGGGAAGGGAAGGGAAGGGATGAATAGGCAAAGAAGGGAAGGGTGAGGGAAGAAAGAAAAAGAAAAGGAAAGAGTGAGGGAAAGACTAAGGTTTTCCAAAGAATCTCTTAGGAACAGGAAGAGCCTCAGCTGTGGAGAAGGAAGAGGCAGAAGAGAGAGGAGGAAGGATCAGGGATGGTGGGAGAGACAACTTAAGGCATCAAATAGGGAAGCCCAAAATACACACACAGACACACAGACAAGCACACAGAGATTGTTGATGCTTTCTCGTTGCAGTTGACAGCTTCCAACTTCCCCTCTAGAGCAACTTCAGTCAATCTTTACTAAAATTTTGAGTTCTATATTGTGGGTGACTTGGGCCCAGACTCTCCCCCCCCCTCAGCCCAATCCTTCTCACAGGCCTATTGCTGTGGAAAATAGGAGGGGGAATGAATATTAGATCTGTTTGCCACCTTGAGTTACTCCTGGCATAATAAAGGCAGGATAAAAATCTATTAAATAACATGCCCATAAAATGATTCCCATCTCTCTAGAGCTTCTGTTTTTATACAGCCCCTGGATTTGACTCTTCCATGTTGGCGATGGGGCAAGGAGCAGTTTCTTAACCATGCTTCAATGAATATTATTCTGTGCCCACTAAATCAGGGATGTGCAATTCATTGGACTTGATTCTGAATTCTGGATCTGACTCTCTCAAGAGAGAAAGTGATGAGGAATTCTGTTGCAGCAGTTCTATCTTTGCCCACATTAATCATAATTAGTTTTAACTAATTTAATTATGTATCGTTAAATGGTCTCAAAATATTCAAGGTCCGATTTTATTGGATACATGGGAGACAATTTGGGTTAGAAATGTAATAAATGTAAGAGAAAATTTTTATAAAATGTTTTATAGATGGCATTTGGATCCCCAAAAGTTGTCTCGCATGTATCCGAATTTACAGCCCAAACATTGGAGATGTGGAAATTTAGATGCAACTTATTTTCATATCTGGTGGACCTGTAGAGATATTAAAGCCTTTTGGATTAAGATTTGGCGGAATATCCAAAAGACTTTTAAGAGAAAGATAAAAGTTTACTCCGGAATTAGTTTTGTTGGGTATTATTGTAGATTTTGATGTTAAAGAAATCAATTTGATGTTGAATCTTATAACTGCTGCAAGATTATTGGTGGAGCAATATTGGAAGAAAAACTCATTGCCTATTTTGGAAGAATGGATACTTAAGGTGTCTAATTTAGCAGAAATGGAGAAAATCTCTACCTATTTGAAGGACCATTCACAAGAAAGATACATTATGGTTTGGAGAAGATGGATTGATTATATTCAAAAGAAATATGAAACGGAAAAGTATTACCTTGCTTTTGAGTAGATTTTAAATAATTATTAATAGTTTTAATTATATTATTATTTTTGTTTTAATTTGTTAATATTTGTTTTGAGAAGGAGTTAAAGTATGTTATGGTTTTGATTGATAGTATAGTTGGTTTATGTTAGTTAGATTATGTTTGTTTATTTGTTACCCTGTAATCAGCTCTGGGAAGTGGGGGAGGGGGGAAGGGGTGAGGGGTGGGGAGGTTTTATATTGTAATAAAATTTTAAAACTTTTAATAAAAAAAAATCCTGGTCCTTCTGACAGAAGGTCCAGTTGTAGTAACCAAAAGCTGCCATCTATGCAAGCGACTAGATCCAGGATTCAAAAAGCAGAGATCAAGCATTGGCACAAGAAGGCTGCAGCCCATCACAAAGCATCACCCATTGGCTTACCCAGCAGAGAATACTCACAAGTGCAACGGTCTCTTGCTTGTAGACCAGAAGACGTTGGGTAGACAGGGAAGAGTCACGATGCAGATAGAGGGCTCTGCTCCAAGATTTATATTCTGTCTATTTCCCCTTACATTTCTGAAGAAATGAACACATGATTGCCTTTGTGACATTTGACCTAGGCTGACTTTTCTGTGGAACTGTCTCTGTCAGCCAGATGTTGTGAAAGCTGTGGAGCAACAACCTAAAGCTAAACAGACCCCCTCGGATGATCTACATTTAACACTTCTCCTTTAAATGTCTAGAGAAGGGGCTAGTAAAAAAAATAAAACCCGCAAAGGGTGGTGGACATCAAGCCAAGTTGCAAAGGGCAAACATCAAGGAAAAAAACAATTCCCAGGAGAGGAATAGGAATCAAATTATGTTAAATATAATACAAGGCATAGACAACAGAATTCTTATGGTCCTGGTAAACCACGGGATTCGTTCTTTACAAATCATTCTTCAACTCAACTCAACGTTGTGCCCTGTTTCTGCAACAGTACGTTGGCCCTGCACCTGGCTGGTTGGCCTTTAACTGGAATCTCAGTGCCTGCAGAAGAGAAAGAACAATGACAAAGTCTTCCTCATGCATGGAGAACCAAAGAGGGCCTTGAAGTTGGGTTTGACCAGGGAGCATTTGAAGTCCAGCTGGTCCTCCTGTTCAGATGGAGGCCAGGCAGATGGCTGTCACTTCTAGATGGAAGAGCGGGAATGTGGGAAGGGAAGGGGTGAATAGGTAAAGAAGGGAAGGGACAGGAAAGAGAGGAAAAAGAAAAGGAAGAGAGGAAGGAAAGAGAAAAAGTTTCCCAAAGAGACTCTTAGGAACAAACAAGAGTTTGACAGGAGGGGCTCAGCTGAGGAGAAGGAAGAGGCAGAAGGGAAAGGTGGAAGAACAAAGATAGTGGAGAGATTGTTGATGTTTTCTGATTGCAGTTGACAGTGAGGGAAGTTATCCCAGAGTAGGAAATATTAAAAGGGCAGGAAAATATATTTTTCACCAAAAGGATTTTTAAAAGTATTTTTTTTTCTCTTGAAAAGCAGAAACCAAACCTGGCCCCAAATCAATCTCTCTGCCCCAAGCAAGAGTCAGCCCCATACAAATGCAGATGTAAAACCATCAGAAAGTTGGAGCGAGAACCATCAAGAAGACAAAGAGAAAATCTGCATACCCCACTCAAACTCTTTTTTTTAATTGAAAATTTTTAAACTTTTTACAATAAAATACCTCCCCCCTCCCACCCCCATAACCCTCCCCCCTCCTTCCCAGAGCTGAATACAGGGTTAAAAAAAACCAAAAAAAACCCATACAAGTTAAATGAACATCAGTCAACAATACATACATCCAAAAAATTTAAAGTACTTTAACTCCAATACATAGAAACAACAAGTCCAACCATAACATAACAATAAAAAAGGAAAAATACCCACTTTAAACTATAAATTATTCAAAAGCTAAATAATACTTTCTAATCCCATATTTATTCTGTACAAAATTTACCCATGTTTTCCACACTGAGATATATCTCTCTTGTGATTGGTCTTTCAGATAAGCCGAAATTTTTGCCATTTCTGATAAATAAGAAACTTTAAAAAACCATTCTTCTATAGTAGGCAAGGAATCTTTCTTCCAATACCCCACTCAAACTCTTAAGAGTCATTAGCCCCATCACCTGGGAAGCAGGATATGATAATAGGATTAAACCACAGATATCAAGGCCTAGACCAGTGGTTCTCAATTATTTTCTGTCATGCCCCCCCTAGGAAGAAGAAAACATTTCGCGCCCCCCCCCCCGCGTGACTGTCTATCCAATCGGGTCCTTTGCGTGTGTCACGTGCGTCCAATATGACAGTATTTGCCGAGGTCAAACGAGCCCCCCTTTACGGAGCCTCGCGCCCCCCTTGGGGGGCCCGCCCCACTATTTGAGAACCACTGGCCTAGACAAACACTCAGAAATAGCCTCAAAGTTCGTGCCAGGAACAGGAAACTATTCCAAACAAAAGGCTAGAGGGGGTATAAAAACCCCTAGCCCATGTGCTCAGCTTCTTCTTCTTCCCTCTGCTCTTTCTTGCAAGAACCATCTTTCTGCCTCTTCAAAAAACTGTAACCTTCTTCCCAAAGCAGTCGCCATGTTTCTTATTTATCCCCGGCTTGGATGAACCAGGATGAAGACTTTACTTCTGACAACAGCTTCCAACAAAATGCTTCCTATATCCAGTTATGATTGATTGGAGCATTGCTGGCTACCCAGTTAGCAGAGACAGCTTCAGGAGACCTATAGGGAAGGCAACTACACACAAACACACACACAAACCCACACCCAGGCATTCTATGTTCTTCTTTAATTGTCAATTGTATGTCAGAGTAAGATAGGACAGATCTTGCTATTATATGAGGTTGGAGATGTAGCATGGCTTCCTAGGAGGGCAATCAGATTATTCTGGGATGCTCTCCAGAGCTTTAACAAATTGTTCAGGAATTCAATTACTCGGCAACAGATTGATCTGACCAGAATGAGGTCAGAAGGATTCTATGTTGTTGTTGTTAATTGCGAAGTCATGTCCAACCCATCGCGACTCCATGGACAACGTTCCTCCAGGTCTTCCTTTCCTCTACCATCTTCTGGAGACCATTTAAGTTCACACCTACTGCTTCAGTGACTCCATCCAGCCATCTCATTCTCTGTCGTCCCCTTCTTCTATTGCTCTCAATCTTTCCCAGCATTAGGCCCTTCTCCAGTGAGTCCTTCCTTCTCATTAGGTGGCCAAAGTATTTGAGTTTCAACTTCAGGATCTGGCCTTCTAAAGAGCAGTCGGGGTTGATCTCTTCTAGGACTGACCGGTTTGAACGCCTTGCAGTCCAAGGGACTCGCAGGAGTCTTCTCCAGCACCATAGTTCAAAGGCCTCAATTCTTTGGCGCTCAGCCTTTCTTATGGTCCAACTTTCACAGCCATACATTGCAACTGGGAAAACCATGGCCTGGACTATACGCACTTTTGTTGGCAGGGTGATGTCTCTGCTTTTTAGTATGCTGTCTAGATTTGCCATAGCTTTCCTCCCCAGGAGCAAGCGTCTTTTAATTTCTTGGCTGCAGTCCCCATCTGAGGTGATCTTGGAGCCCAGAAAAATAAAATCTGTCACTACCTCCATTTCTTCCCCATCTATTTGCCAGGAATTGAGAGGGCCGGATGCCATGATTTTGGTTTTCTTAATGTTGAGTTTCAAGCCAACTTTTGCACTCTCCTTCTTCACCCGCATCAAGAGGCTCTTTAGTTCCTCTTCACTTTCTGCCATTAGAGTGGTATCATCTGCATATCTTAGGTTGTTGATATTTCTCCCGGCAATCTTAATTCCAACTTTTGATTCATCTAGCCCTGCCTTTCTCATGATGTGCTCTGCATATAAGTTAAATAGGCAGGGCGACAGTATACAGCCTTGCCGGACTCCTTTTCCAATTTTGAACCAATCAGTGGTTCCGTGTCCAGTTCTCACTGTTGCTTCTTGACCCGCATATAGGTTTCTCAAGAGACAAATGAGATGGTCTGGTACTCCCATCTCTTTAAGAACTTGCCACAATTTGTTGTGATCCACACAATCAAAGGCTTTTGCATAGTCAATGAAGCAGAAGTAGATGTTTTTCTGGAACTCCCTAGCTTTCTCCATGATCCAGCGTATGTTGGCAATTTGATCTCTAGTTCCTCTGCCTCTTCGAAATCCTGCCTGTACTTCTGGTAGTTCTCGATCCACATACTGCTGGAGTCTAGCTTGTAGGATTTTAAGCATAACTTTACTAGCATGTGAAATGAGTGCAATGGTGCGATAGTTTGAACATTCTTTGGCATTGCCTTTCTTTGGAATTGGAATGTAAACTGACCTTTTCCAATCCTGTGGCCACTGTTGAGTTTTCCAAATTTGCTGGCAAATTGAGTGTAGCACTTTTACTGCATCGTCTTTTAAGATTTTGAATAGCTCAGCTGGAATACTGTCACCTCCACTAGCTTTGTTGTTGCTCAGATTTTCTAAGGCCCATTTCACTTCACATTCTAGGATGTCTGGTTCGAGGTCAGTGACCATCTCATTGTGGTTATCTGGGATGTTAAGCTCATTCTTGTATAGTTCTTCTATGTAGTTTTGCCATCTCTTCTTAATCTCTTCTGCCTCTGTTAGGTCTCTGCCATTTTGGTCCTTTATCATGCCCATCTTTGCATGAAACGTTCCCTTCATATCTCCAATTTTCTTGAAGAGATCTCTGGTCCTCCCTATTCTGTTGTTTTCTTCTATTTCTTTGCACTGTTCATTTAAGAAGGCATTCTTATCTCTTCTAGCTACTCTCTGGAATTCTGCATTCAATTGGGTGTATCTTTCTCTTTCTCCTTTGCCTTTCGCTTCCCTTCTTTCCTCAGCTATTTGCAAAGCTTCCTCAGACAGCCATTTTGCTTTCTTGCATTTCTTTTTCTTTGGGATGGTTTTAGTTGCTACCTCTTGTACAATGTTGCGAACTTCCATCCATAGTTCTTCAGGCACTCTGTCTATCAGATCCAGTTCCTTAAATCTATTTGTCACCTCTACTGTATATTCATCAGGAATATGATTTAGTTCATACCTGAGTGGCCTAGTGCTTTTCCCTACTTTTTTCAATTTAAGCCTAAATTTTGCAACGAGAAGCTCATGATCTGAGCCACAGTCAGCTCCTGGTCTTGTTTTTACTGACTGTATAGAGCTTCTCCATCTTTGGCTGCAGAGTACATAGTCAATCTGATTTCTATGTTGACCGTCTGGTGATGTCCATGTGTAGAGCCGTCTCTTGGGTTGTTGGAAAAGAGTGTTTGTTATGACCATCGTATTCTCTTGACAAAATTCTATCAGCCTGTGCCCTGCTTCATTTTGTACTCCAAGGCCAAACTTGCCTGTTATTCCGGTTATCTTTTGGCTTCCTACCTTAGCATTCCAATCCCCCATGATGATAAGGACATCATTTTTTGGTGTTAATTCTATAAGGTGCTGTAGGGCTTCATAGAGCCGGTCAGTTTCATCCTCTTCAGCATCAGTGGTTGGGGCATAGATTTGGATTATTGTGATATTGAATGGTTTGCCTTGGATTCGAATTGAGATCATTCTGTCATTTTGGGGATTGTATCCCAGTATTGCTTTTCCTATTTTTTTATTGACTATGAAGGCTACTCCATTTCTTCTGAGGGATTCTTGCCCACAGTAGTATACCTGATGGTCATATGAGTTAAATTCACCCATTCCTGTCCATTTTAGTTTGCTGATTCCTAATATGTCGATGTTCAGTCTTGTCATCTCTTTTTTGACTACGTCTAACTTGCCTTGATTCATGGATCTTACATTCCAGGTTCCTATGGAGAAAAAATCTTTACAGCATCGGACTTTCCTTTCACCACCAGATATATCCACAGCTGAGCGTCCTTTTGGCTTTGGCCCAGTCGCTTCATTCTTTCTGGCGCTACTAGTACTAGCCCTCTGCTCTTCCCCAGTAGCATATTGGACACCTTCTGACCTGAGGGGCTCATCTTCCAGCGTCATATCTTTTTTTCTTTTAGTACTGTCCATGGGGTTTTCATGGCAGAGATACTGGAGTGGTTTGCCATTTCCTTCTCCAGTGGATCACATTTTGTCAGAACTCTCTGCTATAACCTGTCCATCTTGGGTGGCCCTGCACGGCATAGCTTATAGCTTCATTGAGTTACACAAGCCCCTTCACCACGACAAGGCAGTAATCCATAAAGGGGAAGGATTCTATGCAGGTGGGCAATTCTGGGAGTTGAAGGCCATTTACCTTAAAATTGCTAAGGTTGAGACAACAAATTCGCCATTAGTCAATTGCAAAAGGCGGCCTTACTAGGAACTGCTTCCATCCTGTGACGATATCTGTAATACCATCAAACATCCACATCTGCCTATCCCAGGTCCTTAGTAAGGACTTGATAGGTAGACAAAATGCCAAATCCAGTCTGAACATCTGGCTGACTGTGCGATGATCCATAATAATAATAATAGTAGTAATAATAATAATAATAATAATAATA